CCATCCTGACGCTGACCCGCCCGTCCCCCCTCCCCCTGCCAGTCCCCCCTCTCACTCTCCCCCCTCTCTCCCTCTTACTTTGAAGCTGTCGCCACGTGACGACGACAAGGCCGTCGAGCCACCACAGAAGAAGATGCGGCAAGAGAGCGACCAGACACACGCCAGCGAGACCATGTCCATGTCCCTCGACCACCTGACGCTGCCCACCACACCGGAGGGCAACTGCGGCATGGGAGGAGTGCCCCAGGGCGCCCAGTCCAACGCACCCAGCTCCTCAAGCGCCGCATCCACTTCTTCAGTCGTGTGTGGTCAATCTCTCTTCCCGCCTCGGGCCCCTCCTACTCCCTCCCTCCCAGCACCCTGTGTCCCCTGCTATGAGTCGGACGGCGAGAGCGATGACGAGACTGACAGCGAGAGGGCTGTCGAGCCAGCGCTGCCCGGCCTGCGGCATTTGCGGGAGGCGCTGGACATCTTGCGTCATGCCGTGGGTGGTGGTGGGGATAATGGGTGGGGCGACAAGTATGTTCGTGTGCGGGTGCGAGAGCAGTATTTTCTTGATCTGGTGCTGCCTGGTGTGGCTGTGGAGCAATTCGAGTTTGACCCTTGTAGCAAGAAGGCCGCCGACCAGGTGCTGAGGAACGTCCTCTGGAAGCGAAACGAGATACTCAAAGGTAGGGTACCCACACACAGACACACCACACACCACACACACGCGACCTGTGCGGATACCGCCAGAACTCATTGCTTCTTGCCCCTTCGTGTGTGTGTGTGTGTGTGTCAGCACGTTTGATCTGGAAGGACCGAGTGCTGGATCGGCTTCAGCGCGAGAACCCTCAGTGGCCCGTGAGCTCCTTGATCCGCTACGACACGCAGCGGCACGTATTCACGTTCCAACCTCCTGGGCGAGAGTCGCCCATTTTCGAGGTCAGCACACAAACCACACACACAAAACACACACAGAGCAGCATTGGGTGTACTGTACGTGTGTTGGTCGGTCGACGCAGGCCATTCTGGGTGAGACGGAGAAACTGTTTCTTGACGCGGCTGAGAAGGCCCTGCAGAAGTACAGGCGGCAAAGCGGCACCTGGCTGTCGTGATGGACAAATGGAAGAGACTGAGACAGGCCGTATGTAGTGCATGCATGGGTGGGTGGTGCAATTGGATTGGATTGAATGGCTGAATTATGACCCATCCATCCACTCAGGTGCGTGCGTATTCTGCTTGGTGGTGATGGGAGGGAGAGGGGGGTGGATGGATGGATGACGTGACGTCATACACACACATACATCGATGGCACCGCACCGCACCGCACCCGACAGACAAGACAAGGCTCATTTCATTAATCCTGGATGATGGATGCACTCCGTTCTTCTTCTTCTTCTCTATTCCAATGGTTGGTGGTGAGCTGCTCATCATGAGTCTGCTGTGCAGGGTCCAGCTGACAGCTGAGAAGTGTTGTCGGTCTGTCCCTCATCGACAGCCTCCATGTGAGCGGCCCACATCACATCGATATGGCGACGTACAGACATACAAACAGACAGGCAGGCCGAGATGGGGGGAGTGAGGGAGGGAGGTGGGGTAGCTGAGTGGTGGTAATTACAGGGGCCTGGCTCAGGCCGTCAGGTAGGGTGGGTATACTGCTGAGGGGGAGGGCAGGGGTACAGGAGGGAGGGGGGGACATGTGGACAACACACACATACTTAGGTAGGTAGGTAGGTAGGTAGGCAGGCAGGTACGCCTGTACTTACTGCGAAGGGTCGCTTCGTTGGTTGGTCAATCTGAAGGGAAGGCCTGCAGGACAGGCCAGGATGGGGGGGGCCTCGTTGCACACGCGTACACTGACTGACTGACTGACTGCCTGGGCGTGTCGTGGCGTTCGTGGGGTTTCTCTTGTCTGTAGACTACCAGCGGACTTCCCTTCCCTTCCCTTACACACACAGCCACACAACCAAATACTCACGCACGTTATACGTATCAACAGACACAGACAGTATCTAATCTATGGATCATAATGCTCGCGCAGAATTGAGTGCTCTCTCTCTCTCCTGAGCTCCTGCCTCTTCTGTGCTGGCTGGCTGGTATGCGTCCATCGCTGCGTATGTGCCCAGGTGCCTGGGTGGGTGGATGGATGTGTAATGCTCTCTGAGTGAATGCATGACTGAACGAACACACAGGGTGGGGACACCTACATGAAGGGATGGACGGATGTGTGTGGTGTGTGAGGGACTCTTTGTGTTGTGAATGGTGGCTCTTTTATGTGCGCGTGTGCCCGGGTGTGGTGTTGGTGTGTGTCAGGGCCCCAGGAGACTTTCATATCTTGTCCTCCCCGCCCACCATGACACACACGACCATGCTCGGGAACTCTTTAATCAATCAATCGACCGCTCATTCATTCATTGAGTCCATGATCGTTGATCATCACACGGCCGCAGTGGGTGGTCTCAAAAAGTGTCCTCCGAGGCACAATGGATGGATGGATGCGAAGCGCGTCTGTCCGCTGCTCACACGCCTCTCTCATGTGCTGGCATGAAAATCGGCCGGCCACCTGTTCCTGTCTTGATTGATCTATCGGTCAGTCGGTCTCAGATTGCACAGCAGACAGACAACCTCTCCCAACCAATCCACGCGTCTGTATGTGTGTGTGCGGGCATGCAAAGAGAGACAAGGCAGTCATGTAGCTAGCTAGGCTAAACAAAATGAATTCATCGACAGGTGGACGGATGGATAGACACAATGATGGCGGTGGGTGTGTGGGCGTGTGCGTGTGGGCGTGACGTCACCTCTAATCGTACCTCGTGGCTCAATACAACCGCCCGCCCAACCAGATGCGACACACACGCCAAAAAATGGAATGACCATCACGGACGGCATCAAAACAGCCCCTGCCTGACACAGCCGGCCGCTGGTGCTGTCAGGTACGTGCCGCCATGCTCTCTCCTTCGTGTGGGCCCTGGCTCTCTCCTTCGTGTGGGCCCTGGCTATCAGAGTCGCAACGCTATCAGGGTGGTTTCCGTTCATCGCCGCTGAGAGCGATGAACGGACACCACCCTGATAGCGTTTTGACTCTGATAGCCCACCTTGGGTGGTTTGGGCCACCCGCATGTTGTGTTAGGACAAACGTAAGATGAGGGCAGGATGCAGGTGTGATGTGGCTCTCTCTCTCTCTTCCTGTGTGATGTGGCAAAGTGTCCTCTGTGGCGCCTTGTTTGGTGTCTTGTGTCCGCGTACATCGACGAGCAGTGATACACCGACATCTGCGTCAACGCAGATATTTGACGCAGATATCTCTGTGTCGCTGCCCCTCGACGAACGACGGACACGAGACGCCCAGAACGTCACCACGGTGCAAAAGGCATCACTCTCTCTCTCTCTCTCTCTCTCCAGCATCGACAAGCCGCTTGAGTTGCATCCCAACCATCCATCCATCCATCAATCCATCGCACTCACTCAGCTATCTATCTATAGTACAAAGCAGTCCGTCAGTCTGTCAGCAAATGCAGCCACTTCCGGCCAGCCGGGCAGCCAGGCCCCTCACTAGCCCTCGTACTTCCACAACATACCATACACCGACAACATCATTAACACACCACACCACACCACACACCCATGCACAAAACAGGCATTCAGCCCACAACACAAACCACCTTCAGCCAGCCAACCACCTTCGGCCAGCCAGTGCGTCAGTCAGTAGTTGCGTGCGGTAGACTTGCGTTGGTTGCGGCCGTTGGTCTGCCCCCCGTTGCGCTTGTCCTTGCTCGCGAACTTGGGCTCGGGGGGCACGCCACACGACACGGCGGCCGGGTTGGTGTTGACTGGCTTCCCCTTCTTGCGGTTGCGGCGCTTGGAGCCGTTCATGAGGGCCTGGCGGCGACCCTCAGCAGCGAAATAGTCCTCCTCAAACTGACCGACAGACAGACAGAGACATCATATCCGCTGTAGTCTTCTTTGCACGTGTGTGTGCGTCGTCGTGTGTCTGTCTGACCTCATCTTCCGATACTTCATCGTCGGCCGAGTACACCTTACGAGGGCGGGGGGCCTGCAGGCGACAAAGGGGAACAAGCGAAGGTGACGGTGCGGTGGTTGGGTTGGTGCTTTTGGATGTCAGTCGGTCACCGACTCACACACCTGCTGCTGGGCCCCCGTGAGCGCTGCGGTGGTGCTGTTGGTGCCCTCGGCCTGCGACAAGAGCTCCTCTATGGCGTACAACTCCTGACTGCACACACACACACACGCACACCAGAGAAACAGAGAGAAGGGGGGCACACATGGCACATCCATTCGCTTGCTGCGAGAGCCGTTCCTTCGTGTGTCATGCTCACAGCAGTGCGGGGACGTCGTATTGTCTGAGACTCAAGATGCGGCCCTGGAAGGCCTGCACCTGCTCACGCACCTCCTGAACCAATCAACACAGCACACGGACACATCGATGTGCAAATGTCCCGGGCTGGGAAGGGCCTTGCCTTAGCCCCTGCCTGCCTGACGTACCGCTAGTATCAGCCAGACGGTCTGCAGGTCAGCCTGCGGCCGCATACGCGCCAATGCGCCCCGCTGGCCGCAGATGATCTCCATCCGGTCGCGACGGCACCGCAACTTATCCAGCTCGGCCATGAAGTAGTGCATGTCGATACACTCAAAATGCTCCTCGCTCTCGTCCCCCCCTCCCGGCGCCACATACCCGCCACTGCTGCCGCCCGCCGCCATCTCATTCAGCTGTGTCGCGTCCACCCGACCGGTCGCTGTCAGGATGGTGCCGCAGGGCAACTCGATGGCCGTGACCTCATCCGTCGGAGTGTTGGTGGCGGTGGCGGTGGTGCTGGTGTTGGCCATTGTTTCCTCCTCCAGTGTGTGCGGTGTGGCGGTGTTGGTGTGGTTGGTGTCGGCGCCACCGCCAGCGCCGTCATGGTGGCCACCGTGTTGCCACCCAGCAGCAGCAGGGGCGAAGGTGGTGAAGTGTGTGAAGGGCTTGACGCAGAGGGGGCAGCGGAGATGCTCCTTGCACCAGTTGGTCAGACACGGGCGGCAGAAGGTGTGCTCACAGGCCCCCAGCTGGGCTGCATTGCAGCACACACCACAAAGCACAAAGCACAGAGAGACCACTCTCACGAGTCACTGTGGTGAGTCGTGTCTTGGCTATATGCGACCTCTCTGCTTCCCTTCCTGCCTCTCCTGCCTTTCCTTCCTGTCCTGCCGACGTGTGTCTGTCGTGTCGCTGCTTGTCGCTCTTGCGTACCGATTTCGACAGCAGCGTGCAGGCAGGTTCCATGCTTGAAGTCCGAGAGGCAGATTGCACAGGTTCCACTCACTGTCTTCTTCCGATGATCAGTGGTGGTGGGCGTATGGGACATACAACGGCAGGTGCGACAGGCGACACACACACGATTCTCTCTCACGCCGCGCGACGCGCCGACGCGGGAGAGTCCAACAAGCCGGTGGAGGACCGAGAGACGAACGCTGGAAAGCCTCCGAGAGAACCCCGGAAGCCTTCTTTTGTTTTGCTAGAGGGAAATGGATAGGATCAAAGCGCGCGTGAAACGAACGCATTTGCGAGCTTAGGGCTGGCGTAGCTTCAAGCTTCCACCATAATTCTCCGCCCATGTCGCTCAAGGACAAGGACAAAGCCTCGCCCAGGCAGAAATACGAAGACCGTCTGCGGCAGGTCCGTCACCGCGCCCCGAGCCGACCACACAGAGAAAGGCGCTGCTCTGGATGCGACGAACGCATGGATGGATGGAATGGATGGCTGGGCTGTTGTGTTTGTGTCGGTTCACAGGTCGGTGCGGACATCGATGCCGCCATGGCGGCCCGCGAGGAACACCACGAGCGGCACATCAGCGAGATCCAATACGCCAAGGAGCTGGAGATCACGGCCATCCGGCAGCAGTGCAGCGAGGAGCTCCAGCACGCCCGGCAGACCTTCGAGGCCCACCTCTCAACCCTGCAGCAGGAGAGGGACCAGTCCACCCAACACAAGGAGCGGCTGGCGGCCGAGCTCACGGAGCAGAGCGACCTGGTGCAGTCCCTCTCACGCCAGCTGGAAAGCCTTAAGCATGAGAAGGCCGGGGCGGAGAAGCGCTGCCGTGAGACCGAGCGGCAGCAGGACCAGCTCGAGGTAGTCAACCAGCGGCTGCAGCAGCAGCTGGACCTCGTGACGCAGTCGTCGGACTCTTTGTGTCGTGGGTCGGCCCTCAACCCCACGACCATCGCAGTGTATGAGGAGGCCCTCAGCGGCCTGCAGCAGCAGCTCAGGCGCGCCGGCAAGGCCGCCGACTCCACCGAGATGATACACGAGGTCATGCAGCGACTCGGCAGCAACCACCCCACCAGCAACAGTGACAGCGATGTCAAGATGGACGACGCAAACGAGACCAAGGAGCGGTCCGATGCCGCCATCCAGACTTCTGCCGACGCGTCTGACGACTCCCACCCCCCCTCCCCCTCCCCTTCCCCCAGCCAGGAGCAGCTGAACCGTTGCCTCCACGCCGTCCAATCGTATGACCCCGAGACCCTCCAGACCCTCCTGTCTGCCGCCCCCTCCTCCGTCGCCACCCACCCCGCCCTCCTCTCAGCCGTCTTCTCCCTCCCACCGCCCGAGGCCGAGCCCCTCTCACTCATTCTTTTGTCGTTCTACGACATGAAGCGTCTGGGGGACGTGCTGCTCAAGGCGGCCGGGGAGGGGCAGGACCGGGTGGTCCAGTGGACCATCCGGGCCTGCCTGCGCAAGTTCCTGGCGTCGGTGGATGGGCGGGGGAGGAGCGCACTGGCGCTGGCGTGTGATGGTGGGAACGGGAAGCTGGCGGAGATGCTGGTGCGGTATGACGCGCCGGTGGACACGAGGGATGAGAAGATGCAGACGCCTCTACACGCCGTCAGTCGCAGGTACGTCGAGGGAGGGACGCCAGGAGGGATGGATGGGTCTATCTGGTGTCTTCTGCGTCGTGTCTCATGTGGGTATGTATGTCATGTGGGCGATGTGCGCAGGGGTGATTTCAAGTTGGTTGAGTTTCTGTTGATGTCTGGTGCCGACCCCGCCCTGGTGGACTCGTCGGGCCACACCGCCCGTGCGCTGGCCGCAGACGGCGGATACTCGCAGGTCATCGAGCACCTCGACAGCCAACACGTCATCAGCATATCCCTACGGGTAGTTACATACCAGCACGAGAGAAGAGAGAATAGGATATACACACACAGCCAGCCTTCCATGAGCACCTTTCTGCACTGTTTGTGTGTTGAATGAATGAACGTGTGGCGGTGGCGTGGGGTGTGCCATGTCATGTGTGCAGGGCAATGACCACTACAAGCGCGGCGAGTATCGCGCGGCGTTGGAACGGTATAGCGAGGCCATCGGCATCTGCAAGCGGATGCCCCCACACTCACACGCAGACAACCTCACCAAACTACACTACAACAAGGTAAGTAACTAAGGACGCACTAACACCCACACACGCGTACGCACACCGAAAGCCGCGAGGTCCATGTCATGTTGATTGCATTGCCCCCCTTTGGTTGGTAGGCCCGTGCGTTGTATCGGCTGGGCGAGTGGACGGCGGCGTTGCGTGAGTGCTCAGAGTGCCTCCGGCTGGACGACCGATACGAAAACGCGTACTCGCAACGGGCTCAGGTACACAGACCGAGGGACACGGATGGACACGAGACAGACGACGGTTGTGTGTATGTGTGGATGGAATGTGCGGGGGGTCGTTGTGTGTGTGTTTGTTTGTCAGTGTCACATGGCATTGTTGAAGTTCCAGGAGGCGGCCAACGACTACCAGAAACTCATGGAGCTTGTACCGGGCGAACTCGAGTGGGTCGCAAGGTCAGTAGGCCGCTGGGCATCTTCCCTCCCTCCCTCCCTCCCTCCCTCAGCACGTGTCTGTGCGTTGTGTCCATGGATCCTTCCACCTATCAGGCACCAGGATGCCCTCCGCATGGCCCAGATGGACCACTACGCCATGTTAGAGCTGCCGTCGCACACGGCTACCGGTGACGATATCAAGAAGGTGCGGAGAAAGAAGACGCCAACCCATCAGCAGCAGCAACGGTGGGCTGACTGACGTCGATTGCTTTGTTTGTTCGTTCAGGCCTACCGTCGTTTGGCGATGCGGTGGCATCCGGACAAGAACCGCCATCGGTCGGCCGACGAGCAGCTCCGGGCCAACGCACACTTCACACGGTCCGCCACTATTCGAGAAATGCAGCCAGCACACACGTACCCTCGACATGCATGCATACATCTGCTCTCCTCACTCATCGATCAGGGTGCAAGAGGCCTACAATGTGCTATCGGACGAGGCCCAGCGGTCATCCTACGACCTCACCCTCTCCCTGCAGAAGGCCAGCCGCTTCTCACCTCACTCCCACACCCACACCCACACCAGCCACAGCCACAGCCATTCCTCCTACGCCCACCGGCCCCCCTCATTCCACCCCACTCACCACCCGGCATACTTCAACAACAACAGCCAACGATACAGAGACAGAGACCGCGCCTCCCAGTCCCCCCGCCGAGGACACCCATTCGACCCGGCGGCCGCCAACGCAGGCTGGTACTCGAGTGCATTTGGTGGGCCCACCAGCTCATGGATGGGGGGCTACCCCCACCCTACCACCGGCACACGGTCTGGCGGACCATCGCACGGCTTCAAGGTCTTCACGCCCTTCCCGCGGTCCGGCAACACGCCCCCACCTACTCGGGCCGGGGGGACGAGCTACGCCGACATGGAGTGGACGGGGCAAGAGGATGAGGTGCCACAGGCCTCACATGCTCACCCACATGCACATGCAGCGACGGCACAAGCCAATCCCTGGACGGACAGCCAGCAACAGCAGCAGCAGCAGCAGCCGTCCAAGCATGATGAATACGGCCACGGGGCGGCAGACAACGCCAACCCCTCACGCAAACGGGAGGCTGCAGCTGCTGTGGTGGGTGTGGCGAGTGGGTCGAGTGGTGCGAGCAGCGAGACCCACAGCCAGCACTCTTCCTCTCAGCAGCAGAACGCCAAGAAATTCCCCATCCCCCCGCCCCAGCCCCCTCCCGGCAGCCCCATGGAAGTGGACGGCGGTCCCACCGACATCCCATCGGAGGGCCATGCGGAGCAGCACCATGACCGAGACGCAGTCGAGAAGCGCACACCCAGCAAGGGCCGCATGCCCGGCGAGGACGCCACGCCCAAGCGTCAAACAACGGGGCCCCGCATGTCCTTCGTCTCATCCCAGGGAGCTGCCAAGGGTGGCCGCAACAACAACCCCCTCCCTTCGCCAGAGAGCGGGCACAAGTCCCGCCGTCGGTACAGTGCCGTTTGGCCCAAGGACCCCTTCCCCTCCTTCTCACCCAAGCCACAGCTGGTCAAGAATCCACATACGGCATCCGAGAGGGCGATCGGCATCGACCACATCCAGCAGGCCAACCAATCGCGGCCCAGCACAGCCACCAACGGGACGTCAGCACGCGAGCCACCCCTCACTGCCCGCTACCCCAACGAAGGCGGCCGCAAGACGGCTGCAGGGGCCGTCAACCCCCGCCCGGTGCCGACAAAGAGCCAGAACTACTTCGCTGCCGCCCCAGTCGGGGCGTCGGCAGAAGACGAGGGACCGCAGCTGACGTCAGAGCGGCTGACTGGGCGGAAGGGGGCAGCAAACCCCGGAAGCGGCATGGGATTACCCGCACAGCAGGGCGCCTCCCGTCCCGCTGCAGGAGTTTCCAACCGATCTAGCTACGGCAGCAAGGATATCCACATCAGCAGCGACAGCTCGCCAGGCCGCGTCCGTGCCGAGGATGTGTATCGCACCAACGGGGGAGGGCTGGCGTCATCAGTGGGATCGGTGAGGTCGATGGAGCAGCTGATGGCTAGGATGAGGGGTGGCGCCAAGATGGACCCACGGATCGTCACTGTGGAGTTGGGCGGGACTGGTGGGGGCGGGCACAAGGGAGGCGGTGGCCGAAAGGCAAACTCGGCCAGTGCTGCTGGGGGCAACGGACAGATCAAGGTCCGCGGAGGAGGCAATCCGACAGAGACGCCGCAGCGGGTGCGGTACAGTACACGACGCACACACACAATCCTTGTCAGCTGACACGGAAAGAACGACATGTAAGCCACCCACCCATGTCTCTCTCGTTGCTGTCTCTCAGGGCGTGCGAAAGCTCCGCAAGAGCGATGCTGAGCAGGCCATTGGTTTCGGCGCCAGCCCCGCGAGTGAGCAGGACATGGACAGCCCAGTAGAGATGAATACAGACAACGACCCCCCGCTACCGCCCACATCATTCCCCACATCCTACCCGCCGCCCCTGGACCCATCACAGCAGCCGCACAACACCACCGACTCACCCGCGCCCTCACCCATGATGCGCCACGCACACGGCTTCGACACCGTCAGCCCGGTCCGCAAGGCCACGGCCGCCGAGCATGACGGCAATCTCGACTTCCTCTCGCGATTCGTGCCGTATGTCGATTCGGCTGCGGCCCGCGAGGCCTTCCAGGAGGGCATACCGTCGAGCGAGGCGCATGCAGAGGACCCATTCATGATGAGTGGGGGCAATGACAATGCAGCGGCGGCAGCAGCGGCAGCAGCAGCACGAGGGCAGGAGTCCCTGTTTGGCGAGCCGGAAGGCCATAGCTGGGAAGGGCTGGGGCAGAAGGCCGCTGCGGCAGCCAGCGGACGAGCACCACACGCCAACCACCCAGCAGCCCGCCGACGCCACTCCGTGGGGCACGAGTCCACCCCTGCCAACAGCAATCCTCATCCCTTTGAGCAGCTGCGTGCCGAGGTGCCACCGGCCCCCATGTTTGACGAGCCGTCGCACCAGCGCCCCTTCTCCCGTGATGGAGACGACTACTCGACGGGCGAGCATGAGAACGGGCACTACTCCGAGCCCGAGCTCTCCCCCCAGCCGCCGCCGAGATACCCCATGGATGAGGAGGTGCAGGTAGACGGATTCGAGGACGAGATGGACATGGGCCAAGAGCCAGAGGTAGACCACGCGTCGCATCATCCGTTGCATGCGTCATGGGGAGGAGGCTTCGCCGGTGGTGGGGCGGGGTCTGAGTCGGTGGGGTATGGCGGTGGTGCGCCTGTTGGCAAGGGCAAAAGGGGAGGGTCGCCAAACTGATCACAGACAGACAGAGGAGAGAGAGGGTGTGACAGACTGTAGCGAGCGCCTTGACTGAGGGGAGAGAGAGAGACTGTGTAGCATCGCTGATTGTTGGTGACTGACTGACTGGTGGCGATGGGATGGATGGCCGTGTGGTAGTGAGTGGAGGGAGGTGGATCGAATCAATCGATAGAATGCATTCATTGAATTGACGCTCGCTGACTGACTGATGTCGGTCGGTCGGTCGGTTCGTTTAAGACCCTATGGATAGCATGTGGTCGGTACACACATGTTCGTTCGTTCATCGCGTGAGTGTCAATACGTGTCTCATCGATCAGATCAACCGCCGCGCCCAGACAGCACAGAATTGACAGACACAGACAGACAGACGCAAATCTAAGACGCGTCCCACAGTCATCGTATCTCGGTGGCTGCGGCAAGCCGGCTGCTTTGGTTGCTCTCCCGCGCCTGATTGAACACCTCGCGGAACTCAGACCTGAGGGAGGACAGAGAGAGATGCGGTACACAATACACACATCACATCCACCCTCTCTGTCCGTCCGTCCGCCCATTTCACTCAGTCTCTCACTTGAGTTCCTTGTTGTGTGGGTCCTTGGTGAAGGCCGTGCCTGACATACATAGAGTCAGTGACAGAGAGCAAAGCACAGCACACTCTCTCTTCTCCCCCTGATCCGATGGATGCGCTCCTTCCCTCTCTTTGTTGGTGTGACACTCACCTAGTTCGGTAGCGGCCTGTGTCAAGTCGCCCAGTGCCTTGTAGGCATGCGCCAACCGGTAGTAGCCCTTGGGCCACTCGGGGTCGTAACGCACCGTCTGATTGATGCACACAAACACGCACACACACACACACACACATGCATCTTATCTCCTCGCGTGTGTGTGTCCCATCCCATTCCGTGCCGTACCTCTTTGCCCTGGGCGATTGCCTGCTGTGGCTGGTCCATGGCCAGGTGGCACGCAGCGCAGTTGGAGTGCAGCGCCCTGAGCAGCAGCACCAGCTCCTGACGGCATGAGCTCAGATGGCCGAAATCAAACTCTGTTCCCGCCTTGGGGCCCCGCGCGTCGGTGAGCGAACGAATGAACGAGATGAGGGGGTTGTCGTCGGTCAAGACGGAGATTGCCTGCAGATCGGATACACACACACACACACACAGAGGGAGGGAGAGCGAAGGGGTAAAAGAGCAGAAGATGTGTCAATTTTGTTTGTTTTCTCTCTCTCTCTCTCTCTCTCTCTCTTTCTCATTGCGTGCGTACCTCTCGGTAGGTCTCGAGTGCCGGCGCATTCTGCCCATTCTTGTAGAGCTGGTTGCCCTTGGTTTTGAGCTCTTCCGCCCTCTCTCGCCTCTTCCTGTGCTCGGCCTCATCCCAATGCACCTTCTCAAACGCACCCGCAGCATCGAAACCGTCCCCCTGCCCATTGGCGTTGTCGTCACGGTTGCTGGGCCCATGAGCTTCGATGTCCATCGGTTTAGCGGCCTCGGCGGCCTCGGCAGCGACGTTAGTGACGGGGCGGAGGAGGGCGCAGATGGCGTCGAAGGTGTGACCGAGTTGAAGGGGCGTCTGGCCGTTGGTGACCTTGTTGGGGTTGGCACCTTTGCTCAACAGCTTCTGGGTGCCCTCAGCGTCTCCGTTCTCAGCCGTGCAGTGCAGCGGAATCCAGCCATCCTGATCTGACAAGACAAGCCCACAAACGGACACGTCCATCCATCCATCCATCCATCCCCTCAGCCTTGCTCTCCCTTTCTTTGTGTCGGTGGCACCTTCAACGTTCGGGTCAGCGCCCCCCTCGAGCAGCAGGTCGAATATCTCCTTGGCCGTGTCGACGTGGTGCCGCATCGATGCGCTCAGGATGAGGGGCGGGGGCACCTGGCGGCTGCCCAGGTCGGGATTGGCCCCGTGGGCGAGCAGCAGACGGACGGCTGTGGCATTCTGTTGTGTGACGGCCCACAGGAGGGGCGTCCCGAACTCCGTCGAGCATGCGTTGACGTCACAGGGAGGAAGAGGCTGTATACAGCCGAGAGAGAAGAAGCAAAGGGTGTGTATGTATGTATGGCTGCCTGTCTGTGTCTGTCTATCTCGGTCGCACCGTCTCGTCAGTGCGGCAGTTGAGGAGCATCTCAAGCAGGCTGCCGTCGCGGTGCTCGGCGGCCACATGAAGCGCAGACGTCCCCTTGCGATTCCTGCAGCGCAATGCAATAGCATCAACACACATATATCCACCCACATGCGCATTGATCTCTCCTCTCCATCCATCCATCGATCAGGTTAGCTTACAGGTGGCTGATCTTGGCTCCCCTGTCCAGCAACAGCCGCACCACGTCCGCATGGTTGTGGAGCACCGCCAGCAGCAGCGGCGTGTCGCCCACATCACACTCCAGGTCCACCTTGACGCCCTCAATGGCCAGCAAGGTCTTGACATTCTCCACCCTCCCTCCCATGCACGCGAAGTGCAGACATCCCCGGCCATTGCCGTCGCGGTATTGGTTGACGATGTCCGCCAGAGTGACGCCTTCCTCTCCCCTCTCTCGTCGGATGGTCTCCAGGTGGCTGATGAGCTCCGCGGCGTCCTGATCTTTGGCGCATGCGAGCAGTTGCGTCAGCTCCTTCTTCACCCGGTTGAAGGCCTCGTTTGAGTGGCTTGCAGATGCTGATGCTGCCATGGCTGACGCCGAGGAAAAGGGGAGGGTTGTAAGCTCGCAAGCTCGCGTCTTCAGGGTTTCCGTCTCTAAAAACCTCTCCTACGTCTTATTCCTCTCTTTCTCCTTCCCACCCGACCTCTCCGGGCAGCCGACATCAGAAATGGCAAACCGAGAGGTGATTGAAATCGACGACGACAGTGAGCCGTCGTCCGGCCCGCCTGAGCCGCCACCCCATCAGCCGGCGGCTCTGGCAGCAGCGGCTCATGCGCCGATGCCGCCGCCCGGGCAGCTCCAGGTCGGCAACGTACTCGTTGGCCGATATCGAGTCACCGGGACCCTCGGAAACGGTGCATTCGGTAAGCCGTGACGTAGGATACATCGAGGGGGGTCTGGGAGGTGCATGCGATGCGTGGGCACAAATGCGTGTGTATGTGTTGCGTGTTGGGCAGGTAGTGTGTATTGTGTGACGGACACGGTGTCCCGGACGCCACAGCAGCTGGCGGTCAAGTACTGTGCGGAGGATGACGGAGGCAAGAGCGTGGAGTTTTACCAAAAGAGAGACTACGACACCTTGAAGGCGCTGCAGGGTAGGCAGGCACACAAAGGACTGGCTGGGAGACGGGAGACGGGAGCGGGGAGGGGGGAGGGGATCAGGCGCATGACCTTGTCGTCGAGTCGTGTTGTGTGCATCATGTCTGTGTGTCTGTGTGTGTGTGTGTGTGCTATAGGGATCCAGGGCATCGCACGCGAGTTTGGCACATTCCCCGCCACCAATGAGTGAGCCAACCCCACCCAACCCGCGACGCACACACAGCCTGGAGCATGGTCCGTCCCCTGTTGACTTGTGTGGTGTGGTTTGTGCGTGTGTGTCCTGACAGGCACCGGTCGTTCTTCTTGATGGAGTTACTTGGAGACTCTCTGCACACACTGCACAGCTGGGCGCGGCGGTTCACCGTAGCCACTACCGCCAGCATCGGGGTAAGGACGGTAGAGAGGCACGCTGACGGACGGACTGACTGACTGACGACGCCTGCTTGACGGCTGTGGGGGCTTTGTCTTGTCTTGTGGTGTGTTGCAGATCCAGCTGTTGGACGTGTTGACCAAGATGCACGAGCGTGGGTTCTTGCACCGGTGGGCCACACACGCAGACGCACACTCATCTCTGCACACACACCTCCATTCTCTCTCTGTCGGTCTGTGTGTGTGTGGGTTCTCCATTTGCAGCGACATCAAGCCGTGCAACATTGTGAGCGGGGGCAGCGATAGCTACCGTAAGCCAGCCGAGGAAACACTATACCCCCACCACACACCTGCCTGTCATGCCCTCATTCATCCCTCGTCCGTCTGTCTGTCTGCCTGTCTGTCTGCCTGGCCACAGGCCCCCAGCGACGGGGCGATATCTTCCTCGTGGACCTCGGCATGGCCAAAAAACACCTCGACCACAACGGACGGTACGCACACACCACACCACACCGCAGCAATTGGCCACTCACATCCATCACATTTGTGTTTGTGTGGTGTGGTGGGCGTGTGTGTGTGTGTGTGTGTCGTGGGTACCCACAGCCCGCTGCCTCCGCGTTCGTCGGCGGCCTTCTGCGGCACGTCCTACTTCGCGTCGCTCAACACACACGAGAACAAGGAGCAGGGCCGGCTCGACGACCTCTACTCGCTCTGGTTCACGCTGCTCGAACTCATGCTGCACGAGCTCCCCTGGGCCCGCATCGACTGGGTAGGTACAAACCACACGCAACGCAACGCATCCCATACCACACACACACACGCATCTATGTCGACCTCTGGGCTCTCTCTCTCTCTCTCTCTCTGTGTGTGTGTGTGTGTGTGTCGTCAGGATGACTACGACAGGGTCTGTCGTGCCAAGAAGGAGCTCTTCAACGCCATGAAGAAGCTATGGGCGGCGCAGAAGGCCCACGAGCAGCGGTACGGCGACCTGCCCGAGGAGTCGCGGCCCGCGCCGCCGATCCCCAAGCCCCACTTCCCCTCCTACTACGTGCGCCGACACGGGCAGCTCAAGCCCGATGGCCCCTCGGGCAAGCCGCGGTCCGCAGACCCGTGCATAGTGCCCGATGGCGGGTTGAATCGGGCGGAGGAACTCGCCAAGGCGCTGCCCACACAGATGGTCAGTCAGTCGGTTAACAAAAGACACAAGGAGTGGAGGGAGTGGACGGGGGTCGTGTTGGGCGTGCAGTGCACCTGACGTTGTGTGTGGTGTTGTGTGTGTGTGGTGTGTGCAGCATGAGTTCATCGAGGAACTAGATAGGTACCGGTACGAGACCAAGCCCAACTACGCCCGCCTTCGGTGCGTCCGTCCTCAGACCACCCACACAGACACACACAGCACAAGGCGGCCGCGTCACTCACTCGCCCGTTGTCTGTGCCTTCTGCGCCTGCCTGCCTGTCTGTCTGTCTGTCTGCCCGCCTGCCTTCATCACATCAGGGGCCTTCTGTTGTCGATGCTTGAGGAGTATTCTCATGGCGAGGGTGTGGCGGGCTGGGACGTAACTCGCGAGTTCGGCCCCAACCTTTACTGGCAGGCCGGCAAAAAGGAGGCCGAATTGTGGGACCGGTTCACCAAGGAGCAGCAGCGCCGCAAACAACAGCAGGTAGGGTACACCAGCCAGCCAACCCCACACACAACAACCCCCCCCCTCCCCCCAACACATGCACACATGGATGGATGGCCGTGTGTCCGCCACATTCATTCCCACACATGTCCTGTCCTCCTGTGTGCTTTGACCCTGTTCGTTTCCTCAGGCTCGCCCACCCGCGCCTGCCCGCCCCACGCCCCCACCCCTCGCGCCCTCACCCCCTATGCGTCAGCGAGACATCCGTGACCTCCTCCCACCAGCCCCAGCCCCAGCCCCAGCCCCAGCAGCAGCAGCAGCGGCAGGAGGCAAGAAGCGCCAGATACCCGTTGTGGTGCTCGACGAGAGCGACGACGAGACCCCTCCGCAGAAAAAACAGCGCGGCAACGACAGGGAGCCTAAGCGGGGCAAGGACAGGGGCAACGGAGGCCAGGGCCAGGGACAGGGACAGCGCAGGGAGAGGGGCGAGCCAGCTGCCGCTGCTGCAGCAGCGGCAGCGGCAGCGGCAGCTCCTCCTGCTCCACCCAACATGCCATCGGTCATCATATTGGACCACGACCCCATAGCAGCGGAGGCCCCGGCCCCTCCAGCCCCACCGCAGTTGCCACTCGTCCCTCCTGCTGCTGCTGCTGCAGCGGCGGCGGCTGCTGCCCCAGCCTTGCGGTTGGGTGTGAGTCCCAAGCCAAAGCCGCTCATCAGTCCCGGCAGCGATGCCGAGATGGCCCAGCCCCACCAGCTGCAGCAGGGCCTCCTTGCCCTCCCGTACTCGCCGCAGGCGTACCCACTTGTACCAGCTGGGGGGCAGCAGGGAGCAGGTTTTGGTGGAGGTGGTATCGGCGGGGCTGGGCAGGGCGAGCGTGACGTTAGCATGAGCCCGCGAGGCGGCCGTGGAGGCCGTGTGGATGGTGACGTGTTGATGGCGGACCGTGTTGGTGGGCGAGCGTTGGTGTTAGCGGACAAGAGCCCCGTCGCCATGTGAGCAGGGAGGCTGGGTGGGTGGGTGGAGGGGCAAAAGGGATGTATGCGATGCATCCATCCATCTATCCATCGATACGATAGATACATGTACGCCGCATACATGACACGCATGGGCCGATTGTGTTTGTGTGTGCACTGCAGGCCGGCCCCTGCAGCAGCTGCAGCACCTGCACCCATCCTATCGCATCAGCACCAGCAGCGTGGCGAGCCAGCCAACGGCGGGCACCCCGTCGGGCCGGGCGGCGGCCTGCGTGTCAGCCCTCGCATCCAGAAGAAGCAGGACCGCCAGCAGCACCAGCAACAATTGCGTGAGGAGTTCGGTGACGGGCCCATCTGCATTGACTTGCTGGACGACTCGGACGAAGACGGATCCCTGCCGGCCGCAGCGGCAGCTTCACCAGCAGCAGCAGCAGCAGCAGCAGGAGGGGGTGCAGAGGAGGACAAGGGCCCTGCAGATCGACAGGTGGCGCCGGTCATCTCGCCCCGTGGTCGGCGTGCGGCCCGGCGCGGCCATGAGCGTGCATTTGGCGGCCATGCCGACGGGGGCGGGCCGATGTGCATCTCTATTGACTCAGAATAAGAATAGTGGAGGGCGGATCAGTGTTGGAGAGAGAGAGAGTTGAGGTTGGTTGTTTGTTGAGATTGAGAGGCACGAGAGAGGGAGAGAGTTGAGGTTGGTTGTTGGTGGAGAGTGAGAGGCACGGCAGACAGACAGACAGACGTTCATTCATTCATTGCACACATCACATGCATCCGCGAGCCAGGTATAGCAAAGCGGATGCTGGTGCGTGCGTCTGTCTGCCGGTGTATTTGAAGCGTCCATCCCTCTATGAAATCAAAGGTGGATGGATGGGTGGCTGCAATTTTGCGGTTTGGAGGAGCGAGGGGCGATATATTCGGACACAACAGACGTGTCTGTTTGTTGGGGTGAGGAGGGGAGGGGACACACCGACCCACTCACTCCATGTACCGTACGTACCTCTATCTATCTCTTGTCTACCCACCTATCATTCTCTGTGTACACGTATATAACTACCCCTCACTGTATGTATTGCATCACATTTCATTGCATTCCATTCCATTGCATTGCACGGCATTGGATGGCTTTGCGCCGCGCCTGAGGTGCCCTTTGTGTGCCTCTCGTGCAGTGCACTGCAGGGCCGTGCTGTGCCGTGCCGCCCGTGCGTGTGTTCGCGCTTCATGAGTGCATGCAGGGAGACACTTTTTCGATTTGCATACTCACAGACTGACAGACAGACAGACAGACAGACAGATTTCGTCGGTGCCTGCCTGCCTGCCTCATTTAAGAGCAACTTGCCAATTACTCGTCAGTCAGTCGCACGCACCATCCGTCCATCGGACCCACTAACGTCTCAACCCACACCGTCTCCTGATCTCGAAGAGATGCAGGTCAGCATTAGGATGAAGACCTTGAACGACATCACGCGACACCTGCCCACACATGTGACCTCAATGGCACACCGCCGTGCTGCTGGCTGCCTCTCTCTGACCTCATCAACGGTGAATCGTTCCCTCAGCAGGGCCATAAAGGTCTCGTACTTATCAACAAACCTACACACACAGCCAGACAGAAACCCATACACATCACATCGACAGTCTGTCGACAGCAGGCTTTTTGACCGTATTACCGTATCCTCATGGTGAGTATGATTCGGGTGGCAGGAGTGGATGCATCAGGCGACGGACGGCACAGGCGATCAAGAGTGTCCACCAACAGGCCGAAATCCTCCTGCACCAGCCATCAAGAAGGGCAGGACGGATGTCGATGGCAGGCAGGTGCGCTGCACACGGATTGTATGCAATCAATTCTCACCTCTTGATAGACGAGATCCGAGCACAGGATGAGCGACGGGGGAGAGGTGGGACTACAGGCGTCAATGTCACTGCCTCCCTCATCAGACCCACCTCCACGTGCCCTTCGGTGCAATGACTTCAGAGCCGATTCCATCTGGTCACACTCACCCCTGAACTCACCACAACACAAACACACATACAGAGATGAGAAGCGCTTGCCTTGCAAGGGTTTGCAATGCATCACACACTGACCAGGACAACTCCGCGGCCGTGCAGTCGAATGGCTCGTTATCCGTTGTGGCCCGCCCCGCCTGACGCACCCTCTGCTGCAGCTCGATGTTAGCATCCATCAGCGGCACCAGCTTGCGGATGTCCGTCAGCACGGTCACATAACCTGACACAACACATTAGACACTACACACACGTCGACAAGTGCGCAAACACATCGGCCAGCCGATGTGCCCTCCCTCCCTTGGGGTACCTACCGATGGATGCGGCGACGATGCCTGGCAGGCCCACACCGGCGCCCAGCTCGACGCATGTGGGGCGGGGCGATTCAGGTGGAAATCTCTCGCCGCTGCTGGCCTTGCTGGGGTACCGATAGAGGTATCTTGACAGGAGAAGGGCGGCATCCCACAGCAAGCCACCTACACAGCACACAATAGATAGACAACGAAGCATCGCAAGCGAACGCATACAGTACCCTGCGCTCGGTGCTGCATGCCGCTGACCTACCTTTGCCGAGTCGGAAGTTCTGCCTGACAGACACCACACACCAGAGCATCATCACACAGCATTGGACTACCTTAATTGCCTTTGTTTCCATCCATCATTCTCACGCACCTGACGAAGTAGCTGGCATCCGGCGCAATGTCACACCCTGCATATATCGTGTGGCACCAAGAGATAGAGGACAACAAGCACCTCTTGTCATGCATGTCTACTCTGTTCATGTCATTCTTCCCTTACTCAGCAGCCGGTGGCTGGCGAATCGGTAGTCATCGTAGACCTCGTAGGCCGCCGGATCAAACACAGCCGCCTCCTGCAAGAGTGAAGTCAACTCATCGCCTGACGCAGGAAGATCATTCATGACGATGGTTTCTTTGCTATAGACAATGAGTCATTTGCTACGCTGCACGATTCATAGTGTCAACAACACTGCCGATTACCAAGGAGATCTTCCGCTGGAGCAAGCTAAGCTCGCAGGCTGGTAGATCTTCGCCGCTTCCTCAACGATGTCACTCTGCAACTATGTAATAGCCTTGGCGGTTTCTGCCGTCCTTGATGGAATTGTAGCATTCAGATGTGATGACCATCTCCCGCCAGGCTCGGTGCCTTCCATTGCCTTTCACCAGCCCATGACAGCGATGCACACCAGAGCCCGTCTGCAGAGGAACAGCAAGAGGCCGCTGAGGCGCCTGGCTTCCTCCCCTTCAACATCAGTGACCAGGGAGCAGGATGCAAGAGCTGCTGCTGAGAGCAGACCTGCAGTGCCATACGCAGAGATCCAGCATGCAGGTGAGGTGGCTAACATAACAGAAATGGAATGAATTGAATGCACAGGCAGCGTTTGGCATCGGGTTGGTTGTTGTTTGTCATGTCAGGTGTGCTGTGTTCGGACACGCCTGCGGCCCTTGAGTTCTACACGAGGGTGTTGGGCATGGCGAATGAGACCCATCTGAGGCCAACGACACTCCCATACCCCGGTGGGGTACTGTACACACAACACACATCATGACCTGATGCACAAACGGACGGATGTGGGAGTGGTCTATGATTGCCGGCCGGTATGGCTCCGGTTCCATGCTGTTTGTTGGTGTGTGCAGGTGCGTTTGTGCGTGTTGGGTCGAATCAGATTCACTTGATGGAGCTGCCAAACCCGGACCCCACAGAGGGGAGACCTGACTACCCTGCACGGTAGGTATGCTGGGCCACAGATGAAGAAGACCAACACTGACTCGTGTGTGTCTGTGTGTCTGTCTGTCAGGGACCGACACATAGCGATCAGTGTGTACGATTTGATGCCGCTGAAGGAGAGGCTCGACGAACATGACGTCAAATACAGAATGTCAAGGTGAGAGCAGAGGTGGCCACACTTCATTCATCACATAATTACACGAGGATGAAGCGAAGCAGCTGTCCTCATTGTGCGTGCCGTGTGTTGTGTTTCCAGCTCCGGTCGTCCTGCCCTGTTCACCAGAGATCTCGACGGCAACGGGTTGGAGTTTATTCAGGTGGATCTTACTGAGAGGCAGCTTTATTCTGGGGATAGCTAGCTAGATTGATGGGTTAGTTGTCTGTCTGCGGGGGAGGGAGGGACCGAGAGATATGGGATGGATGACGTCGAATGCGCGTTTTTCAGTGTTCGGAGTGACTGAGTGAGTGAGAGTGGGACACTACACTGTGAAGGTGGCGTTGTTAATTGCAATGGCCCAACGCTGTCACGTCCCTCACACGTGTCTGTACTGCATGTACACCGACAGACATCTACGAACGCAACACAATCAAGCAGTGAAAGGATAGGATGCACCATACATACCATGCCCCCAACCCCCCCCACACACAAATGCAGCCAGCACTAATCCACAGCAACCCACCAGCCAGCCCTTCACAGATCCGCCAGACCAGACGCCTCACTCCCCTCCTCTCCCTGCCCTCCCCCATCAGCTGCCCTACACAGCTCCAGCAGCCGCGCAATCTTCTCACGCTCGCTCGACGTGAAGAAGCCCTTCAGCCGACGCACACTCGACATCCCTCCGATGACCCTCACGTATTCTGCAATGGCCTTTGCAGTGCTGCCGCCATCATCATCGCCAGGCCTCTCTTGTTGCTCGAGGCGGCCGAGGAAGACAAACAGCAGGTCGGTGAGGAACTGCGAGTCAATGCGGGCGCCCATGGCCGCGGCAAACGTCGATGTGGGAATGCCGAGAATGTACCTGTACACAACAGAACGAGCAGTCAGCCAGCCGACCACAAGGTTTGTTCCATGTCAATGTGCATGCATTGCATGGCCGTGACGGCTGGCCCAGCCTACTTGAGTTTCTCTTGGTCGCCTCGCATGCGCCTCCAGTCGGTGTCGATGGTCGATGCACTAGCAGATCCTCGCTCCCTCCCAGCGGATGCAGTCGTCAGGGCCGCCCCTCTCGCAGACGCATCCCCACTTTCTCCCCTGGCAGCAGTGGCATCGTTGTGGCAGCGGTTGAATGCGAATTTGGGTGGCGCGTTGATGGCGTCCGGTCCGAGAGGGTTGAGGTGTGCGGTGGCGACGAAGTTTTTGAACTCATCGTAGCTGCGGGCCTGGTAGATGGCCCTCTTCTTCATGTTGTCGGTCCGCTGGTGGTTCTCGTCGCGGCCAACAGCCGCTCTCACCTCTTTCTTCACCCTCTCCATCTCTCCTGCTTGTGCTTCCTCCCTCTAGCGCGCAAGTCTTCAACGGTCAACGGCAAGTTTGAAGCCCTCCACAACTCAGGCTCACTCACTAAAGAGTTCTACCCCGGTCGTGCTGCCCCTCGCTGCAACAACAACAGACGCAATGGAGACCGCAGACAGGAGTCTCAGAAGCGACAGCGGACGGCCATGCCATCGGCGCCCCAGGCGTCTTTTCAGCGCTGCAGGGGCTGCCCTTGTCATCATCCAGTGTGCGTGCCACGTGGTGTTTGGCGATGCTTCATATGCAGGCTGGTCCTTCTACGACCTGCTGCAGATTGACAGGTATGCAAGGGTATGCAAGGGCTTCAGCGGCGGCCCATGTGTTGATTCTGTGCATGTGTGTGCGGTTGCAGGTCGGCCGAGTCGTCACACATCAAGAAGCAGTTCCGGCGGCTGTCTCTCGAGTACCACCCGGACCAGTATGATGGCCCGGGCGACTCCACTGCCCTCTTCAGGGACATCAAGGAGGCCTATGAGACGCTCAAGGACCCTGCAAAGCGGTCAGTGGTTGCTGCTGTGCTGTGGTGTGCTGCGGTGTGATGTGATGTGGGTGTGTCATGGCTGCAGGCGTCTGTACGACAGCTACGGGGGCGACCAGGTGATGTACCAGTCGATGGTGGAGTACTTTGAGGAGCTCCAGAGGCACAACGTGGTGGAGCTGTACGCCTACAAACCATCAGTGGCCATCCTCTACTCCGGCAACATCGACAACATCGTCGCCAACTCACCGCACATATGGGTTGGGGGGGGGGATGCTTTGAATGAAGGACGTTTGAACCAAGTCGATGTGGCATGCATGGTGTGCGTGTGTTAACTGCAGCTGGTCACCTTCTACCACTCCAACTGCGGTGGCTGCCGTAGTGCGGTAGGTATGCCTGTACGCACCATCAGAGAGCAAAGGGGTTTGGGGGGGAGGCGCCACTTGCTGCATGTGCGTGCGTGTTTGTTTGTGTGTGTGTGTGTGCAGGTGACAGAGATGGTCAGGGCCGGCGAATTGGCGAACAAGACGGGCAACGTCAGGTGAGGAGGAGGACGAATGTGTCTGTCGCTCTCTGTTGGTTGCTGGCATCCATCTGTCCGTCCGAGGTGCTTTCGTTCATTCATTCATGTCGATCATCAGAGTGGGTGCTGTCAACTGCGCCTACAACATGCGGACATGTCACCGGTTCGACATCCGGCATTACGGCGAGATCCAGATATTCCCGCCCAACCAGGATCCAAGTGAGTGAAGTGAATATGCACCCACCCCCCCTGCCCTACAGACACCGCCAGACGGCTGTATATGCTGTGTGTACCATTCCATTTGTGTGTGTATAGGTTTGGGCGACCATGAGGAGTACAACGGCCCCGTCGTCGCATCACGGGTGAGGCTGGTGGATGTGATGTCGGTTGGCTGTGTGTATGATTTGTGTGCCTCCCTCTCTATCAGATGTTGTCAGCGGCCGAGCAGCTCGGTGCGAGTGCGGTTGTGCAGGGGCTGAGCCCACACGCACTCATGCAACGCATACAGATGGCCCCCAGAAGTGAGTGGAGTGACCGATGGATGGGGAGACAGACACTGACGACATACGGAGGGATGGTGTGCATCTATCTGCGTCTCATTCATCATGTTGGTTGCGTACAGGCACTTCCAGCAAGGCGCCCGTCGTGTCGCTATGGCTGGTAGATTACTACAGGCCGGGCTGTCCGCCATGCGAGCAAATCAAATCATGTGCGCAAGAGATGAATGACACAAGCAGAAATCAGAACTACTACTCGTGCTCGTGCCTTCCATGATATCTTTGTATCACTGGGCAGCCATCCGAAGGCTCAGTATGGAGCTGCAGGGTGAGTGAGGCAACAATCTTCACACGATGCCTGTGCCTACGCTGGCCGAGCATGTGTGGTGTTGCTGTCGATGCCCTTCAGGTGTAGCCAAGGTCGCGACGGTAAATTGCGGTGAGGAGCGATGCCACAGCGTGCCGCACTACCCCTACTTTCAGCTCATTGTCCAAAGGTCAGTCAGCTGGTGTCAGCTCTAATCCGCCCCGCGCCGCTAGATATTGACTTTGGCGTGTGTCTGTCTCGCTTGGCTCCCCTCCCATAGGGAAGGTCAGGTTCCTGAGAAGCATGTGATCGATTTTGACGTGGATGGCCACCCCGGTGGCCTGGCTCTGAAGGTGGCAGGGATGGTGTTCAAGCATGTCATTGGTCTCAGGTGGGAGGAGCCGACACGGGCAAAGAGGAGCGACAAGGACGAGCTCTAGCAGACAGACAGACAGACAGACGCACGTTCGTATGGTGCAGCCGCGCTGGTTGCTCTGCGTGATACTAGGTCGGTCCGGGGGAACTTTTGGGGGAGGTGCATGAGTCAGCAGCATGACGTTTGTGTAAAATAGGTCAGGTGTCACGACTGATGTGTGGGGACTGGAAGTGGGAGGGTGCGTCGGGGGAGGCCAGGACTCTTTGGGGAACCGTGTTCATGTCATTAATGCTACTGCAAGTGCACTGTCATTCTACGGATGTTGGGATCGCTGTCGATCCGCTTTGGCCATGTAGCGCGGAACCTGGCCAGTGAGGTGATGGCCGCAGCCGCCGCATCGAGCCATCGAACCGACCATCCATCGACCCATCCGTCAGATCCATCCAAGCCGAGGTTCTTTGGGCGGCCCATCCTCCACTGCCACCTCCCGTGCGCGTTCCTCTCCAAGGCCATCACGGCCGGCCTCATCCACACCCACCAAGTCCTCGCCTTCACCGACGCAGCCAACCTATCGGCAGCAAGTAAGAGAGAGAAATGAATGGACAGAGCGGACAGACGCCTGGATGGATCTACTGTCCCTCTGTCCAGAGAAGAGTACCCTTGGGAGCCTTGAGGTGGCCACGGCCATCTGGCGCGAGGCTGACCGGTGGCGGAAGATCCTTGATCGCATCGCTGACGGGCAGGGTGCCGGCCATCCCTCCCTCACACCCAACCCATTCCAGCCACCGCCGCCCGCCGGCATCAGTATCGGCAACGGCCTGTCGGCGTGTGCAGTGATGCCTGGCAAGACGGCCCTGGCGCTGCTGGACGAGGGGCGGGACAAGACACCCATACTCACATTCGTCCAGAAACTCGATGACCTGCTCGGTGGATGGGGTGGGGATGGGCGGCCAGACGATGTGTGTGTGTGTGTGTCTGTGGTGGTCGCTCGGATGTGTGTGTGTGTGTGTGTGGTTGACATCTGTGTGTGTAGGTGGTGGTGTGTGTCTTGGCGAGGGCCTTCTCGAGATAGTGGGCTGCCCTGGGACGGGCAAGACGCAAATCGGGTGAGTGAATGCAATGCAGTCACAGCAAGTCAGTTAGTTGGCAGATCAGCAGCAGAGCATTTGTGTGTCTGTACGATCTGTCTGTGTGTGGTGTGGCATATGTGTGTGTGTGTGTCAGGATGCAGCTGTGTACCAACGTGCAGATCCCCGTGGCCTTCGGGGGGCTGGGCAAACAAGCCGTGTACATCGGTCCGTCAGCTGATACGCCGCACACTCTTTTGATGCTGCCGTCGGGGTGTGTGTGTGTGTGTGCAGACACAGAGGGTTCGTTCATGGTGGAGCGCTTCTCGCAGATGGGCCGGGCACTGCTCGACCACCTCAACATACTCGCAAGTCGGCCACCAAGACATACACACACACACGGCAGACACGCCCTTTGTGTCTGGCAATCCATTCCTGCCCTCCTGCAGCGCATCAGCCGCAGTCGGCCTCCCATCGGCAGAGATCGCTCAATGCCCTCGATGACGTGTCGCTCAGATCACTCATGGACGGTTAGTCACTTGTAATTACACTACACAGAGAGAGAGAGAGAGGTAAACCCCATGTCAGTGGGTGCGTGTTGTGGTGTGGTGTGTTACCCACCTATCTGTCTGGTTGTGTCATGTATTGTATTGTATGTGTGTCAGGAGTGTATTTGATGCGTGTGTTTGACAGCCTGGAGCTGCAGGCCGCCGTGCAGCAGCTCGGACACTTCCTCACACAACACCCAAAGGTGCGTCCCGTAACCCTCTCCATCCGCCCCTCCCATCGATCCTGTTGGGAAAGAGGCGGTCGGTGGTCCGCTTGCCTGTGCGTGTCTGTGTGTGTGTGTGTGTGTGTGTGTGTATGTGGTTAGGTGGGTTTGATAGTCATCGACTCGATTAGCTTCCCTTTCCGACATAGCTACACAGGTTGGCTTGGGGGGTGGGGCTTAAAGGGGCCCCCGCAGGCAGGCAGGCAGGCAGACATACAGTACAAACACACATTTGATTTCTCTCTGTGCTGTGCTGTGTGTGTATGTGCTGCGCTGCAGCCAACATGGCGGAGCGTTCCATGACGTTGCGTCAGATGGCCACTCAGCTCGAGACATGCGCCAAGAAACACGACCTCGCCGTCAGTCAGACACACCCAACAACACACACAGATCGCCTCAATCCATCCATCCATGTGTGTGTATCTCGATGGTCCCTCCCTCCTCCCCTGCAGGTAGTTGTGATGAATCAGGTGACGACCAAGCTATCGCAGGAGGGCAACGCTCGACTCGTACCCGCACTCGGTATCTAGACACATCGAGTCGACCTGCCTCTCCTCTGTGTATGATATGATGTGTGTATGTGTCTGTGCAGGCGACACATGGTCCCACATCCCCACACAGCGCCTCTTCCTCGACTGGTGGGTGAGAGCTGATCCATGACACCACACCACATCATACCATACCCAGCACGTGTATACACCTAACATTCCTGCATGTATGCCATGCCTTTGTTGTGTAGGGAGCGGCGTTCTGCCCGCGGGCAGCTGATGGAGGGCGGCCCCGAGCTGCTGTCGGCGCCCTCGCCCAACGCCACGCTCGAGGACGTGCCGCGGGTGGCCAAGCTACTCAAATCCAACAAACGCAGAACCGGCAGAGCGCTGTTTCGGGTGGGTGTGGACACAGACTCTCTCTCCAGTCCATCCATTCATGTGTCGGCGTACGAGTGTGATTTGATGTGGTGCAGATATGCAATGATGGTGTCCGCGATTTGCCCCTTGCCGAGGACACCCAGATGGAGGATGACACACAAGGGGGGGCCCGGGGGAGCAGGGGGGCGCTGCCGCAGCAGTCCTTCGTGTCAGAATCCCTCGACCAGATGCCACGGCCATTCCAGAACTGACGCTTTTGTGTACCTATCTGCCCTGTGTGGGGTTCGGAACACTTGCCCGGTGTGTGTGTTTGTGAAAAATCTGTGTCCATCAGTCAGTCGATTGGGCATTCATTCATTCGTTCATATCCTCAGCCTATGTCTGATGGCCTAACATCGCTTACACACCTCTGTCCTGTCTAACAAGCCGCTTATACACACACTCTGCACAAGCGCATGGATGGATTGATGGAATTGTCCACTCACTGCGATCTCTCTGCCCCTGGCCCCCTCCCGCCAGCGAAACAATCTCAAACAAGCAACAAACGCACACACACACACACCCCTCTCACATGACACAGCAACACGGCCCCCCTTGTCTCAGGAACTGGCGCATACACCCATCCCTCTGATCTTTCCCTCCCGCGTCCAACGCACGCCTTCGCTCCAGCAGCCGATTCAGCTCCTTCTCCAGCTCGCGCAGGTGGGCCTCCTCGTCGCTGCCCTCATCCCACCACTGCTCCTGCTCCCTATCGGTCTCACCATCATGGGACGCGCCCGCGTCATAGCCCTCATCGTTCGACTCGACACATCCGACGCTTGACTCCTGGTCGCTCGGCAGTGGCTTGGCTGATCGTGGTGGTGGGGGTGTGCGGGGCCGTGGTAGGGGTAGGGGTGGTGGGGGCAGAAGGGATGGCGAGTGGCTGTAGAAATGGAGTAGCGACGGCTGCGACTTGCCCGCCGGGTATGGGGGGAAGGTGCAAAGACGTGCCGGGCCGTCTGGCACAGCTGACGGCGCAATAGAGGTTCCCTCTGCTGTGCTGGCGCGGCACAGGGAGGCCTCGCCGCTCCTGTCGTCGGCCTTGCCGCCTATCATATCTTCTGGCGACTCAGACCTACTGGTCGACGCAACCGAGGACGACCCCGACCCGCTGGAGCTTGAGCTCACGTCGCCCTCTTGGCCCTTATCAGCCACTCCACTGCTCTCCCCTTCTCCCATCAGTGCGCGCACGAACCGGCTGCTCCGGATAGCACGGCAGAAGTGCAAAATTTCCTCCTGACCCATGGTCATGCCAGCATCGTTCGCATCCTCCGTCGATGAGCGGTCCGTGGCGATGGGCAGGCCGGCTTCGATGCGATGGTTGACGAGTGAGAGCCGCTTCGCCCTTGGATCTTCACTTAGCGGGGCCAGCCTATCCTCGCTTATGGCCGTCAGGATGCTGTGGAGGGAGTGGGTCGATAGAAGGGTGGGCGTGGGCTCGACAATGCTGGTGGGCGCCGAGAGCGCCTCGGGCGTGGGGGACGAGGCGAGGCAAACAGATGGGGAGGTTGTGGCCTGGTTGCAAGCAGAGATAAAGAAGTTGTCGATCAGTCGGTTGTACGGATGCGATGCATATCTGTGCGTGCGTACCATTGATATGCGATGCGCGAGAGCCTCTAGGTGCTTGACGTTCTCTTCGATTGCCGCAATGTCGCGACAAGGCGGGACGCCTGGATGCAGAGATGGGAACGCCCACGTGTACGTACCCGTTGTCGGTGGCTCCCTCTCGTCCTGCTTTGCTGTGCGTACACCTACCTGATGTCAGGTCTATTTCGTCCCTGGGGTTCTGTGGCGATGGCTACACGGCGCTGCATGCGCCCAAGGACTCATGCAACGACCTGCACAACGGAGGGAGAGATCAGTGCACAACGGATGGAAAGATCAGCAGAGTGATGCAGGCTTCCTCCGTGCACAAACGTACCTCGCACGATTGGTGAGGGTCTCGTATTCACATGCCAAGATGAGTAGCTCTGCCCCACAGCAAGATCCAAGATCACTCACACAACATCGTGGTGCCAGTGTCCCATTCTGTGTTTTCCATACCGTCTCTATCAGCCCGTCTGAACCTGCAGGCGGCAAAGCCGTGTCGGGGAAGTCCCAGTTCTCCTCCTGCCGCTCCAGCCGATCCAGCTGCAGCAGCGGGATGGCGATGTCGTTCTTGATGACCTCTGGAGGCCTGCCACTCTCCTTCTCGCCATCGTTGTGCCTCTGCCGATCTTCGGCGAAAGGCGAGCACGAAGGTCGGTGCGGAAACGGTTGATCACCGTGTGCATCACGTGAAGTGTCACGCTGGGTAAGATCTGCAATGAGCAGCGAGATGGTCTGGTGGAGGTGGGTGTACTCAGACATGTGCTGCAATCAAATCAACACACATACGACAGAACACAACGTATCTTCTTCATGACCATCCCCAGTGAGTGGGCTCTGCACGCCTTACCAGCCACATGGCGCTCTGCGCTTCGCCTCCCTTGTGAAGCAGCTCCTCCAGCTTCTCAACAACACTCCTCAGCGACACATTGCGGTCATTCAGCTCTCTCAGCTTGTCCTGAGCCTGCCAGACGGCCGATGGCTCAGAAGTGTTGATGTTTTCATGAGCATCACTCTTGTCTGACTCAGCCGCCGCGTTCCCAGCGCCTTCACTCATCCCAATAGCGCCTCCGTTTGTGAGAGCCAGCGATATCGCGAGCACTAATGGGAGCGGAGGGCTATTGGGATGAGTGCAAGTGCAGCAGTCGACCGATGCAGAAGTAGGACAGCTCACTGCCGCCAGGGACCACCGCCGCACTGCAAATGGCCCATTCACTGCGTCGAGATGTTGTCGAGAATTCGCGCGGTTCGAGACGGCCCCGATGGGGGCTGGAGTCTTTCTCCGTCTGACTCCGCCTCCAATCTTCGCCCGTGACGTTCCAGCCCCTGTTCGCCAACCACTTCTTCGGCAAGGCCCAGGTCATCAAGGGGTTCTCGGAGGTCGCGGTGCATATCCCGAGGACATCCTACATCTTCGTAAGCACGAGGCCTGCTCGATGTAGGTGTCTTGGTCGCCTGCTCGCAATATAGCCTGCTCGCGTGTTGTCCGGTCCTTCCCGCTGTCCTCCTTCCTTGCTGCAATGGAAGCTTCGTATGTGCGTCCCGCCTGGTTCGTCAAGCTGAACGTCCGCGGCAGCGAGTTTAAACTCGGCAACGCAGCGCTGAGAAAGCACCCCGCCTTTCCTGATCGATGCGGACCCCGCCTTCTTTGGCTACATCATTCAGTACTACACCACAGGGCTGCCCATCCACATCAAGGCGGACGTTGAGCCACTCGAACTCAAGGGAGAGTTCGAGTGGCTCGGCATCAGCATCGACATCGACAGCCGGGGAAGACACCAGGGAAAACCAGAGGGCATCGGATTCCGCAACGAGTCAAAATTCAATCGCATGTCCTTTACTGCCTTGTCGAGATCAGGCGTGTCTGTCTGCAGTGGCGGGGGAGGAGGAGAGGCAGATTCAATGGGTCATGGAACTGATAAAACCGAAGACAAGCAACGAGACAAAGGTACATGAGAAATCTGTATGCGTTCTTCCCGTATCTATGCATTGTCTCTCCTTGAGGTGGCCGTCAGTCGGGAGCTGATCAAGGAGTTGCATCTGGAGCGTGATGTCTCGCTCCAATGGGACATCAACACCGACCGACAGCCAGACTACATGAATGAAGACGACAAGACGTTATCAAGGTTGATGCGGCATTCTTGGAATGCAAGCCTCGCCTGTGCCTGACACCAGGGCCTACAGAGCTGCCAGCGCAAGAAACGAGCTTCAATCCCAACGACTGGGCCGAGCTGAAAGCGAAGCTTGAATTCGACGAGCTGACAGTATATTGTCCTCTTCAGCCATTGTCTTAGTTGGGGATCCATTTGTCTTGTTTTGCTTTGCAGAATCCAGAAGAGCGTCAGGCCGCCAAAGCACTCCTTGGATGGAAGTTTGATATGGCGACGAAATGGGTAGGACGATAGCTAAGCCCATCAAATGGGTGTGTAAGATGGTGGGGGTGGTGGCCAAAGGTGACGGCGAATGCGCGTCAGACACCATCGTCGTCACAGCAACACAGCTGATCGAAGGCATTCCCCGCCCCCTTCCCGATACGCATCCGCTTGTTCGTCGCGGCATCGCCATGCACAGATCTTTGTGCAAAGGCTGGGAGATGATCCACACGAAGTGGGGCACGTTGCTGCTGCTGGAGCCTATCCAGCCACTGCTGCCCGAGAAGCTGTACGGGATCTCTTCCGTCCACGAGAGCTCAAGTGTACGGAGATTATCAGAAGGACGAAAGTTGTCGATCAAGTGAGTCAGGGAGGACGCATTGTCTCTATGCGCGTTTGTGCTTGCGTCTCTGCGTCCACCTTATAGATGGAAATCTGAGTTGGACGGAGCTGTTACAACGGTGTGTAAAGGCATCATTCCCGCACATCTCGATAGGGTCGTTGCAGCTATCTACGACAAAGAGCAGCGCTGGGCGCCGTTCTGTCACCGTGCTGAGAAGGTAAGCTGAGCAGAAGGGACCCACCTCAGCATAATTCACCTGACTCTTTCTTTCGCGCACATTTCTGTGTTTGAGTTCAATGCGATCTTCCTCGCGAAACACGGCTGTGCGGCAGCGCTAGAAGAGCTGCACGGGAGACTGATGCGGCGACAGCATGATGACGGCCGTGACCTGTCCATTGGCAAGAAGACCAGCACCAGCAAGAAGGCCAAGGTTTGTCAACAAAGGCCACAGGAGCTGTCGATCTGAAGAAAGCCGAAGAGAAAATCTGCCAATACAAACAAGGAAACGTCAGCACACACACCGATACACTGACGCTGAGACACCGTTTGTGCCGTGTACCTCAGGCCGAGCTCAAACAGATGAAGTTCAACCAGCTGCAGAGTTCCTCCTCAATGTTCGAATTTTGACCAAGCAGGCACACGAGACATCGCAAAGGAGCTCACAAGACAGGCGAAGGAACTTCTGGCGGTCTACATCAATAGGATAGTGGGCTCTGGGGCATTGCCGCAGGTGCGGCAGGGGGGATATCGGCTCTGCCTCCCGCGGCAAGGGAGAGCGCCGCCCTGGCTGTCGGCTGGGTGGTGCAACACGTCATCCAGCGCGAGACGGCAAAGACGGATCAGCAGCAGGCCCGCCACACAAGCAGCCTTTGCAGACACGGGAGGAGAGGAGGAGTGCTGCAAGCCCACCAACAGAGACACAGAAAGGGGGAAAGTTCGTCTCCTTCCGTGTCGTTGTGTGGGGGTGTGTGGTGGGATGGATGGTGTTTTGACCAAGGCAATACGCCATCAGCGGGAAGGGGACAATGGCTGTCTGAATTTTATATTTCGGTTGTCAGGTCGTTGCCGTCAGGTGCGTGCCTCCATGACTCGTATGGACCAAGTGAATGAATTGATTGGTTCAGCGTCGTCATCACATGAAGAAAGACTCTCTCAGCTCCGACCACGAATGAAAGTCTCATGTCATGTATGTGGCGCTGGTGGTCAGTCAGCACGTGGCATCCCCTCAATCGGTCACTTGAAACACCACCGACGCATTCATTCTCCTCCCTCAACCCTCCAGCCAGCCCGCCAACTATCAAAACAGCCAGAGGAGGTGCTCTCGTCTATCTCTCTCTTGTCTTGTGTGCCCCGTGAGTGCCAGCTGTGTCCCTGGTGCAGCCCCCTTACAGCCTCAGGCCGAGACACCGTGACGTGCCTCGGATTGCGGCTCGAAGACGGACAAACTAGGCCCACAGCTGCCATCAAAACGCACACGACGACAGCATTCAGTAGCAGAGGGGTCACAGTGGCCGTATGCGATGGGTGCGATTGGACAGAAGCGGAATGTAGTGTACCACAGCATTCATACAACAGGCAGCCGTGGAGGACATGCAGTCGATGGAGCCACCAGCCCATCAACCCACTCAATCACTTACGCACTCACTGCATCAGTTCCACTTCACAGAATTGCAGCCAACACTCCAATGACACACGTCCGAACAGAACAACGACACAGCTGGGGGGTAGTCCTAGGGGCAAAACTCCTCTACTCTCTCCACAGGCAATGCACACAACGTCACACCAAAAAGTGCTTCATCCACCACATCACTAACACA